CTACTTTGTCATGCCGCTGCTTGTAATCAGTTGTGCAATCTTCTTGCAACAGCTTACCAAGTGGTCCACTGTTTCTTCAGCTTCTTTGCATAGGCGGCACTTACTGTCTGTTGCTGTCTTCTCAATTTTGACTTTGTATGCATTTGTCCTTAAGGCTTGGTCTTGTGCAGCCAGAATTAGTCCCTCGGTCTCTTTCTTCAATTTTCCTGCTCTTAGCCATTGCCAGGTTTTATTATTATCTGCTTTCCCAGCTATTTTTTTCATGTATTGGCCATGTAGTGCTTTGTCTTCCCATGCCTCTATTCTGTTCTTCATTTGGTCTTTCTTGTAGGCCAGTTTGGTCTCTCCAGTAGTTAGTAAGCCTTCCTGATATACTAATTTCAGTGCATCTTCATCATTGTTCTTCAGATATTCTTCCAAAGCCATTTTTTCTTCTTCAACCATCTGATGTACTTGTAGCATTCCACGCCCACCTATTTGCCTTGGTAGATAAAGTCTATCAATGTCACTGCGTGGATGAAGGGCATGATTCATTGTCATTATTTTTCTGGTCTGCCTATCCATTGCTTTTAGTTCTGCTTGAGTCCAGTCCACTATTCCAGCTGTGTACCTAATGACTGGGATTGCCCAGGTGTTGATTGCCTTTATGGTATTTCCTCCATTGAGTTTGGATTTTAAGATCTTCTTCACTCTCTTGATGTATTCACCTCTAATCTTTTTCTTGACTTCAGTGTGCTTGATGTTGTCAGCTTGAAGGATACCCAAGTATTTGTAGTACTCTTCCTCATCCAGACTCTTAATGTTATTTTCGTGGGGCATCTTGATTCCTTCAGTTTTCATTATTTTTCCTTGTTTGATAGTAAGTGTGGCACATTTGTCCAAGCCAAACTCCATTACAATATCTTGGCTATATATACGGACAGTGTTGAGCAGCGATTCTATTTCAGATGATGTTTTTCCATACAGCTTCAGATCATCCATATAAAGGAGGTGGGATAGTCTGGCAGATGTTTTTGATGTTTGATAGCCATGTCCTGAGTTATTCAGTATTGTTGACAGAGGAAACAGTGCAATAACAAATAGTAATGGTGATAATGAATCTCCTTGAAATATTCCTCTCTTGATATTAACCTCTCCCAGCCTCTCACCATTGATCTGCAACTGTGTCTTCCATTGTGCCATCGATCTTTGCACAAATTTTCTGATGTTTCTACTGACTTCTGTTATTTCTAGGCACTTGATTATCCAATCATGTGGCAGAGAGTCAAATGCCTTTTTGTAGTCAATCCATGTCACATTCAGGTTGGTCTTCCTTCTCTTGCAGTTTTCCAAGATCATTTTGTCTATTAGGAGTTGATCTTTTGTTCCTCTGCTATTGGGGCGGTTTCCTTTCTGCTCAGGTGAAAGAGATTGTTTTCAACTAGATGCTGTTGCACTGCATCAGCTACTACACCAGTTAGTAATTTGAAAGTTGTTGGTAAGCAGGTAATTGGCCTGTAGTTACCTGGTGTTGCCCCTTTTGCTGGATTTTTCATTATTAGGTAGGTTTTCCCAGTTGTTAGCCACTTTTCAATTTCTCCTCCTTGTAGTATATTGTTGAACTGTTTGGCAATGAGTGGGTGTATAACAGTTAGATGTTTCAACCAAAACCCATGCAGTTCATCTTCACCTGGTGCTGACCAATTTTTGATTTTCCTTGCTCTTTTTTCTACCATTTTTGTTGTTATTACTAGTTCTTTCATTTCAACTTCTGTTTTATTTGCATCCACCTCTTTTAACCAAGCCGCATCCTTGTTGTATTTCTTTGGGTTATCCCATATCTGCTTCTAGAACTGCACTGTTTCTTCCTTGTCAGGTACTGACTGATTCCTTGCAGTTTCTCCATTGATGGATTGGTAGAAACGTTTCTGATTGGATTGAAATTGGAGGTTCTGCCTATAGTTTGCAATTCGAGCTTCATATCTACTGATTTTCCTGGCTATAGCTGTTATTTGTTGCTTTATTATTTCAAGTGCTTCCTTGATCTTCCTTGTTTCTAAGTGGTATTTCTTGATTAGGTATTCTTTGGTCTTCTTGTTCTTCAGCTTCTTTTCTTTCATCTGTTCTAGCTTGCTTGCATGTGATCTTAACTTGCTGATCTTATTTTCTAGTCTAACCTTCCATTTTTCTGGTGCACTGTTTGTTTGTTTTTCTTCTTTGTTGATTTTGCATCCCAGGTATTCTGTTATAACTGCAGCTGTGCTGTACATTAGTTGGTTTGTTTCTTGCAGTGAATTGGTGCTTATACTTGATATTGCAGTATTTGCATCTTTTAATGCTTGTGCTAGCTGTTTCTTTGGAACAAGCTTCAATGCAGGTAGCCTTATTCTGTTGTTTTTGTGCTGTTCTAGATGCTCAGTTATTCTTTGTTTCAATTCTTTTATTTCTTTAGTTAGAGGGTTTTGTTCTTCCTGAGGAAGAGGTGCCTGGTTTCCAAATGAGAACAGTTGTATATCTCTGCTGGATTCCTTCACTGCCAACTCCCCCTGGTTTGCCTCTACATTCTGAATTACTTCTGGTAAGGCTTTGATTTCTTTGCCCTGGGTAAACCTTTGCAGTTTGTCCAATTCTGTTTCTGTGAATACTTTATTTCGTGTTATAAATCGGCATTGATCTGCTAGTCTCTGTTCTGTTATTTCTGATTCTGGATGTTATTATTATTATTATTATTCATCATCATCATCATCATCATCATCATCATCATCATCATCATCATCATCATCTTCAAAAATAGATATGTTATATGCCTGGGATCTCCAAACTGAAAAATGGGAGACCAGTATGCCTGTGAAAACCTCTTCTGATGCCATCCCGACCTCATCCAATTTTATATTGTTTAGAAAAACGAATTTCAAAATATGACCTCTGTGTTCTTTTAGAAAATAAAGTAGTATATTCTGACAATTGAATGCTTTTCTTTTTTTGAACATTCATAACACATTTTCAAAACATCAGATGTGCCAATTTGTCCCCCCTCATCAAACTGGGGCCCCTTACAATTGCTATAGGACCATTTATCTTTTATTTTTCTCAAATTCTATGCCAAATTAAGATTTAAACCTCATAAAAGCAGATAATGAAGCTACCTGTTTCCATGTGGGTTGGGTTACTTGGATTTAGATTCTATGCTCACAGTTACAAAGATGTTCAGAGCATCCAATTTCATAGGATTTTCATCAGGATAAAATGCAAGAGCATCAGATCAGGGATTCTTAATTCATTGAAGAAAGGATGGGTTATCAATACAGCAGAAATGACAAAAGCAAAACATTAATGTCATAAGACATAGCTGCAATTCTATTCTCATTTGATTATTTAAAATATTTTCTAAAAATATTTTATTTGCTAAATAAACTTTGCTTATGTGTGCATGTGTGTTCACATGCTTGTCCCTATGTATGTGAATTCTTTTAATTTGGATGAAATATCTATTATTTGAAGCAAATTTCCACATGATAATGTTATTATAACAACAACTGCCATGTCAGTCATCAAGGAGGTGTGCCAACATAAATGTTCTGTGATCAGTTAAATAAGCCATCTTGGCCTGGTGCCTGTTTATTTTGCATACTGGCATGGGTCCCATAGTAACACATGTAACTTCATTAAAATGCCACTTTTGATTTGAATGCCTTGCTTTATAAGCTAGATAGCAAAACTGGCACTCAGAGAATGAAACATTAATTAGCACTTCATAAATTGGCATGTCTTACTTCTATGCTGTTCAGTGTGGTATTGTGTAGCTTTTATGTAGTTAAGAAAGCTAATCAATGTGTACATTTAACATGTACAATTTTTATCAATGTTAGTTGATATTGAATAACATATTCCTTTGTTGAATCATTCCTTCTCGTGCACACATACACGAGATGTGAAATCTCTTGAATTCAGATCAATGTCTGAAAAGGACTATTGTAGTGCATTCCATTCCCCCACTTGCTCTAAGCACACACGATTCATATACAAATGAATATGGGCAAAACCACTCAAAACAGTGAGGTATAGAACTGAGAGCACAGGGCAGAAGCACATAGCACATGGAATGGAGTATTAAATAAATTTACATGGCTGCTCAACTCATATATGGTGACAATGGACAGTGACAGCATTAAAAATCCAGTACATAAAACACCAACACCAACAACCCTACCTCCACCACCCTGGTGGCAACAGATACAATCAAATCAGCTTACTTAATCGGCTCCCTATCAGCTTGGTTAATATGTTGCTTAAGGTTTCATGAAAATACTCAAAGAAGTCTGTCCTTCAGGTACATCGTTGATCTCTCATTCTGCTTTCCAAGGAATGTTCCCCCACAATCCATAAAACTAATTACCAGTCAGAAAATAACATTTGTGTCGTTTGAAATACCCATAGAGGGGATTATCCCTCCCATCTCCAGATTCTCCTATCACAAAAATTGAAGAGGCTGCCAGGAAATAAATGTAATACTTTGTTGTAGAAGCAGCTCATTTTTTTCCATGCTGCATGATGCAAGCTATGGCAGAGAAGGGAAGCAGTAAGCAGACAGGCCCAATAGGATATAAGTAACTAGTTTCTGGTTCATGCTTTAGTTTTCTTAATGATCCTTTTTTTAATGAAATATGAACAAATAACAATTCTGCTTCCTTTTTCAAGAGAGCTACATTTGGCTTTCTGGAGATTTTTTCTTGTCTTTAAATATGACCCAGATGAAGGATATGCAGCAGTCTAGTCCTTAAAGCCAATATTATCATTACTCCATTTTGTTTAAACATGTGCATGACTCATTATTTAAAAAACAGCCAACAAATCTTACCATTAGTTATTTGCTGGTTTTAGAAATCAATCTGAGAAGCTATGTAACTATTCACAGTAGCCCCTGGTGAGATAAAACCAAAGAAAGGCTCACAATGGCATTCCTTTCACTTGACATTATTATATCTGTACTCACTAAATGTTTTTAAAACCATATTTTGCAGAATCTGAACTAAATAGCAGTTCTTCGTTGCCTGCCTGATGATTCACAAAAGAAAGAAAGAAAGAAAGAAAGAAAGAAAGAAAGAAAGAAAGAAAGAAAGATGCTGCATTTTGAGGAATACTTAATAAAAGAATTAAGACTGAGAGAGTGCATCAATAATTCTGCCCTATTGTTCGGTTATAAAGGTTACAAACATCATAGTTTCCAGAACTGATGAGAAAATGAGAAGCTGCTTAGAATATGCATAATGCTTTAGATTTGATTCCAAATATACTATTAGTTTGAAACATCCTATTATAAATGTAGAACATTTGGTTTAAATGTAACATAGACTGTTTTGATTATTTGGGACATGCTGTGAACTCAAAGCATAAATACTATGCTATGTGCATCTTTCTAATTTTGTGAATATATGTTTGCCAATTCCAGCTTAAATTAATTGCAGAAATTTCTTTCTGCAAATGAATGTGTATGAATATGTGTATTTCTGTGTGTATCTGTATCTACCAGAAGAGAAAGGGGAATGAGAAACTAGAGCGAAATGAGATTTTATTAACCATAGGAGGAAAAAAGAGAGAGAAGTTCTACAGGTAGTCCTCAACTTACGACCACAATATGTGATCTTAGTTTTGGGAAATTGAAATGAATTCTACTTGGCAAGGAGAATGCAGCCCAAGGAACATTCATTATCCTATTCCATTAATTCAAGCATAAGCAACTTTTTTGTAGCTGGCTACTCTTGATTCCCAGGTAGTATGCCACAGTTTACAATTCCCAAAGTAAGCTATGTAGAATAAAGATATGGGCTAGGTCAAGAGAAAAACTACATAGGGTTTAATTTAATTTAAAATTAACTAAATACATTCAAATGTAATATCTGTACAGATTATTATTCAGTGATAAAACTATCAGCGATTCCAAGCAGTCTCAAAGCCTCAGTTTGTACATCTCTGAACTAATTCATCTTATGTTTATATATTTACATTTCTTACATATCTACAACCAACCTGCATAAGTATGATTGTAATTCTAATCTCATCTCCTAATTGTAATTCTAATTCTAAACCTAATTTACAATGGAGTAAATAGCCCTGAACTGAGTGGGACATTATTTTCAATTCAGGTTGTTTAGACTATGCCACACAAGTATGCAAAATAAATCATTCTTAATTTGTATGTTTACATCCATGGTAATATCTTACAATGATATGACTCCCGCAAATCTCACACAATAAATGCTATAATGGGAAAAATTGAAGCAAATGCAAAATGGAACTTTACCTGTATTTGTTTCTATTCATATAATAAGGAGAAGCCACTTGAATATTAGATCCATAAATTGTATCCCTATATCAGTTAAACATTGGTCTAAATCTGGGATCCCCAACCCCCAGTCCGTGGACCGACACCGGGCTGCGGCATGCCAGAAACCAGTCCGCGCAAACAAGCAAAGCCCTGTCTGCGGAATGCAGGTAGTACATGAAACCACACCCCCTCCGGTCCGCAGAAAAACCTCTCACCACGGAATCGGTCCTGGTGCTCAAAAAGTTGGGACCTCTGGTCTAAAGTAACAGTTCTGTAAAGTAATGTTATTCTACTGCAAGGATTTACTTACTACAACAATATAAGAACTGGATTCTAAAACCCGTACAATTTTTAATAAGCTATTAGAGCTAAGTATTTCAGCATCTATTCAATTCTAGCTAAGAGGTAATAGCAAATGTCTATATACTTAATATAATCTTTATATAGAAGAAAACTGTGTTTTGAGACAAAATGCATGCATATATTTTTGAACAAATGTAATTTAAAAAAAAAAAGCAGTGGAATAAATTCTGCCTGACCTTAAGTTACAATCTCAGATGGGAGTTGTCTATAATGTGCACACTGCGTCCTATTTAGTAAAAAGATTATAAAGATGTGCATTATGACTGTTTCAGAAGTACTAAGCAGAAGAAAGCAAATATTTGTTGACCTTCCATATAAAATCAAGCTGTTAATAATTAATCTATTAAGATACTTATAATGCATAAACAGATTCTTTCATAGACAGAAAATAATAAAAATATCATTTAGGTAGTTTCTTATTTCACAAATATGGAGTCAGTTTAAAATGCTGTTTTATGTACAGAGTTAACAGAAACCAAGTCAGATGAAGATGCATCCTTAGAGAATACAATATCAGCGTATGTGGCATAAGATCATCTTCCTGTACTGTTTTATGACCAATGCCGCGATGGTTATTTTTAATGAATATTTCATAAGATGAAATGATAATTTGATCACCCAAATTACTGTCAAAATCTGATGAGGTGTAGGAGAAATTGCACACTAAGCAGTGATTTGGGCACTTGGTGGGGAGTTCATCTGATCATTCTAACATGTGACTAGTGTAATGTATATTCATAGTTCCTGAGGATATACGCTATTGGGCGATCACATGGGTGGGAAGGGAGATGTCTCTGAGCAAAACAAGATTAATCTAATGTTTGTATCACTGCAAAAATGCAGGAAACAAGTCTCCCTCAAACAAAACTCTAAGATACAGAAAACCTATCATGATTCACAGAAGATTCTAGCTACCAGGTCTGACTTGTAAATATCTCAATGAGCACCAGGTAGCAGAAATGAGTTTGCGATCATCTAGCTTTCGTAGCCCAGAACTGGCCTACTTGCTTTCTTCCCAGTATGATACACACACAACACTTAACAGATTAAAACAAATGTTAGTAAATCATTCCAAAACAAGTGCAAAGAAACCCAGGGTAGTAGTATATTCATCCTAAAAGTCTACAGTTTGAAAGCCTGAGATACACAGTCATGTTACTTACAAAGCTGAAATGGTGACATCATGAAGGTGCTTTTCCTTTTCTTCAGCAGCTCATTCTTCCACGAGGAAAGCCATAATGTGACTGAGAAATTTGAATTTAGATATATGAAGATGGAAAGAAGAAAAGAGCATCCTGCTACTTTACTGAAAATTATATACATAGAACTATGCATAGCGTTTATTATCTATGGATTAATAAAAAATAGAGAAAATGATCTCAAAGGAATTTGGTATCACTTTCTATGTGTGATATATGACAGTATATTCTAATACCAATCAGGAATGAATGAGCAGCTGAGAAGGTTTAGATGTAAAGATACCTTATGCAGCCTGAAAGGCTTCATTTTTGCCATTTTCTAAACACAGAAAAATGCATCCCTCCAATTCAGAATATTGAATGTCTTATGGAAAGTGAAAGGTCATTTGTAACTGTCCAAAGGATTGATGGAGTTGAGATACCTCCTTGACCTTCACCCTGCACTCATAAAGAACAGTCTCAGATGACAGAGCATCAGGCAAATTTTCAGAAAATGTCTTTTCTTATTTTTATACTGTATAGTGGACTTGTTACCTGATATTTTTCATAATTGTATGAGAGGATTTAATTATTGTATGTCTTCCTTCATTAAAAGTACCTGCCAAATAATACTGTTAAGCTACAATTGTCAACTATTTCTTTTTTAATTCTTGCTATTCTATTCCATCTTAGTGTTCTGGAATAATTGCTTGGATATCCACAAAAGCAACATCAAGGTCAAATCTTACAAACACAGGAAATTCTTTTCCAATTAATTACTCTCTGTTAAGAGTGCATGTTTTATAAATCAGTGAGATGCTTCAAAAATCTGTAGTGTAATTGTCATGTAGAACAATTAGAAAGAACTTCAGTTGAGATGTTTAAAAAAAACATTAAACTTTCACAAGGCTTGTGAGAAACAAGCAGTGTATTGTATATTGATCCTTGTTCCATTTTTCAATTATGTAACACTTCAGTGGAAAGAAATGCAATACATATTGCCAACCATATAAGTTGAAAGTAAGGAAAAATTATTCTCTGAAAATTCCTCCTGTCACAATCCCATCTCTTCTTTCTCTTGGTGGGAGCAAAACTATAACAGATAATTGCAGTACTTGGTTTTAAACAAAAATTCCTAATACATAACAGACAAATGTAAACATCCAAATATCAATAGTACATCCAATAAATATAACTCAATAGGCAAAATTCATACCAATTTCCATTAGGAATTACCTCTTTTCCACAAATACATTTACTTTTTTTTTTTAACAGAGAAAGATTCTATTATTGCAGGAAGAGAGAGATCAGAAGCCCCTTTCCACATTTAAAACAGAGCTATGACTGATTTTAGATACCCTTTTCTACCTTCAGAGAAAGTTCTAAAACCTTCAACTCTCTAAGATTGAAGTTCCAGTGTTGGAAAAGAAAAGAACAAGTCAGTCTGGGGAGCATGAGATTCATAAACAAATGGAGAAACTGGATTCATGTAATCCTAAGATTTTTCATTCCTCACTCATGCCCTTGAGTCACAAAAACCATTAGATCTGTCAGGGGTGTCCATAGAGTAAGGTAAAAAGTAAAAGAACATTAAGATGACAGTTATGAAAATGCAATCAAAGCTCCATCCACTTTGATGCATATATATGTGACTTTACTGAGGATGCTCTGCAGTCTAAAAGCCTTCCATATAATTGTTCCCTGAATAAATGTGATAGAGCAAAAAATAATGCTCCTTATACCCTTCTGTCTTATTGGAACTAATCCAGATGTCTTCTAACGCTCCCAAGTTGACATTCAGGTGTAGCAGGCTCCTCCCCACCTCAGCCCTCCTGGGGCTCTTGGACCCTACCCCACTCTTCACTTTGCTCAACTGAGGCATCCCATCAGCCTCACATCCTTTCCTGCTTTCTCTTGATGCCTGTGACATTCTAGGCTGGACCTGGGGACAAGTTTATTCATATTGATGAAAATTTGCAATTTAAAAATTCGTAGGTAGAGTAATAACTGTATAAATAAGATCCTGGAAATCAGGGATTATCTCAGTTAAGGGCACATTTCTTTATCTGTGAAGCACCCAATCACCTGCTTGAGGTGGCCTATAAGAAAGTAAAGCAGTCCAGCCTGAAAAAGCATTAGAAACAGCTCTAGTTTCAAACGGCAGCAGGAAAACAGACAGAGTGATTGAATTTGTGGCGGAAGGGATTTGGAGAAAAGTGGATGGATGTCATAA